CCTTTAGGGAGCTCTAGTGGCATAGTGCCTAAGGCATTTACCTGCTAACCAGAAGGCTGATGGTTCAATCCCACCAGCCACTCCTTGGAAGGAAGATTGTACTATCTCTATAGTGAAACTGCCTCAGAAACCCAAGGAAGGGTTGCTATGCTTTGGATCTGACTCAACAGCAAAAAGTTTTTTTTTTTTTTTCTCTTGCCTCTATGCCTTTGCCTGTCCCCTCTGCCTAGAATACCCTGCCCAGTTTTGTTTGCTGACAGGTCAATTCATCCTAAGAATCATGTCAAGAAAGCCTCCTGTGAGTCCTTGACTCCCATGCACCTGGCTGAGTCTGACAGGCTCCCTCCATTGTAGCCTTTACTCACAGTGTTAATGGCTTGCTTGTCTGTCTCCTCAGCCAGATGATAGGCACCTTGAGGGCAGTGGCTGTGTCTTATTCATTTCAGAAGTCTCAGGATTCAATAAGCATTCAATGGATGATTCATGACATGAAGTGAAACTAAAATATTGTCCATCCCTTCACAGTCAAATGCTTAAAGCATCTCTGTCATTGTCCCCACATCTGTATCCATCCTTGCTTCTTCCCCTACTGTACTTGTGTTTTCTCTCATCACTTCACTGAACTGCCTAGAAAAGGTCACTAATGATCTTCTAAGCACCAAATCCAACAAACAATTTTCAGTCTTCATTTACTTGTCCTCATTATAGCATTTGGCTCTATACACAACTATCTCCTCCCTTGGCTTCTTAGATGCCACTGCCTTTGGACTCTCTCCCCTGACTCTTTGTCTCTTCCATTATTGTCTCTTCCACTGACATTTTTTTTATTTTTTGAAAACTTAGTTATATTAGAATTTTTGTTGCTGTTGAGAATATACACAGAAAAACATATACTAATTTAACTGTTACTACATGTACAATTCAGTGACATTGATTATATTGAGTTGTGCATCTGTTCTCATCCTCCTTTTCTGAGTTGTTTCTTCCTCATCAATGTAAATTCAGTGCCCTCTAAGACTCCAATCTAATCTTTCAAGTTTCTGTTGTCACTTCGATCACAGATAGTTCTTAAAAGAATATAATGCCCAAGGCAGAGGCATTATTTTACTGTTGTTGTTGTTGTTATGTGCTGTCTAGTTGGACCTGACTCGTAGCGACCCCTCCTTGGGTTTC